TATGCCTTTTAGGGTAGATATAAAATTGCTGAGATAAAAACCTGTGAAATCCCCTAACTTAGAACTTGATACATAGTAGATGTTCAATAAATCTTAGCCAGATAAATGGCATACAGGAGGTGTTTAATTAAAAAATTGACTTAATTCTCTATCTTTCCCACCCCATAATCTTGAAAGAGGCTAATGCCAACATATCCTATAGCTGAAATGAGGGTGTTTGTATAGAGAAACTGGGACATTAGTTATATTCTAGAATGAAGACATGATCTGATGTTTATCTGGAACAGCCCACCCGTGTCCTCCCAGCACTCTGGCTGGCTTTATGGACCAGGGCTCCCTCTTTGTACCTAATTGCTTAGTATCACTGCTACCCTTTTTTGCCTTACCTGCTGGGAATCTCAAGGCCAAATACAATTCTCTATAGCAGCCTCTGTGCAACTGCATTCTGAACACACACACCCTCCTCCTCCTTACTTTGTTCCTTAGTTCTGTTTGCCTTTCAGTGCTGGCGTGCGTGCAATGTGTACGTGTCCTGTGCTCATGTACAGGCTGCCTTAGAGCCTTTTTTGGGAAGAAGGCAGGAGCAGGCCTGCAGGAGAGTTGAGGCTGTTGACAAATCCTCCTGCTTTGCTGGTGCAGAGCATGCCAGGAGGCCACCCTGGTCTCGGAGGGGCTGGAGCCCCCCTTGTAAGGACCGGGCCTCCGGTTAGGCAGTTCCCTCATACTGCTCAGTGGACCTGGCTCAAACAACCAGGCCTTTCACAGGGCTTGGTATACAGTTCCACAGTAGGACAAGGGCTACTTCTCCCTGCCTCCTGGGGCCTACTTTTCAGTTCTGCCCCCGTCGGGAGAGGCATGGGCTTCGTGCCACAGACCTGCCCTGTGCCAGGCCCAAATCTGCCCATATCCTATGGAAATGCCTGTCTGCTGGAGGAGGTGGCTGTGAAAACAGTGATGTTGCAGCTTGGTCAGTGCTGTGGTGGAGACTGACGAGGCTTCAGGGGCCTGGGAGGCCCTAACTTTCCCTGGGGAAGAGGTGGGGTGAGGGACTAGAGAGGGAGGAGGAGGATTTAACTAGCAGATAGGGCCAATAAAGCTTTCATAGGCAGAAGTGGCCCCCACGTGGTGGAGGGATAGAGCTGGGTGAGCCTGGTGCTCTGAGGAGCTGCCTGTGCTCTGGAGCTGGGAGAGCAGCTGCATGAAGCAGAGTGGGGCATTGATTCTGTGGGCAGTGGGGAGTTCTCGAGGCATCTTGAGGAAGGAAGTGCCTGGTCAGTCTTGCCCTCCAGGCATGGTCCTAGGTGACAGAATGAAGTCCTGTGTGGGAAGAGTTAAGAGCACTGGACCTGGTCCTTCTGCAAGGCAGGACACAGAAAATTGTGGGTGTCAGGTTGGTGCATTTGCTTTCTGGAAAGGTCCCTCTGGTGTTGGAAGGAGAGGGAGAGACTGGAGGCCTATGGACAGACTGTGGAAAAAATCCAGGGAGCGAGCAGGATGGGCACTTGAGTGTACAGGGGCAGTGGGGTAGATTGAGAGGAGGCTGCACCAGCGGTACCTGGCTATGTGGAGGCAGAGGAAATCCAGGTTAAGTCTGTTAATGTGGCTTGTGCAAATTGCCTAGATGGAGCCCTGGCTCAGGAGGGCTCATCCTGGCCCCCTAGCTGTGTGACCCTGAACCAGCCTTCCCTTCTGTGTGCCTCATTCTCCCCAGTTGTGAAGGGATTAGGTGAAGTGGCCTCTCCTGCTCTGGACCAGGAGGTTTGTGACATGGGCCTGGCCCAGAAGGTGGGACACAGAGCCCACAGTATAACCAGCTGAGGCCTAGTCTGGGATTATCAAATCTGGCCAGGTCAGCTGTGGCCAGGGGCCAGTATCTGGCATGGCTGCCATCTGAAAGGGCATGTCTCTGACCCTCGGATGCCCTCTCTCATTCATAGTTGGCCCTGCCCTCCCTGTCAGCTGTCTTGGCTCAGTCTGCCTGGCCAGCCCAGGCTGTGACTTTGCCAGGATTTCTGCTCCCACCCCTGACTGGCTCTGGGAGGAGTGGCCTGCCTCTAAGGCCCCATTGGCCAAGCTCTGCCTGGGCCATTCACGCCCCTGCCTCCCCTGATGGCTGCCCGCCCACCTTGGGACTAGGGGGAGGCATGGCCCTGCCTGCCCCCATGGGGACAGACTGCCTTAGAGCTGAGAAAGGAGTTGGAATCTGAGAGGCTGTTCCCTCTGCTTGTGCTCCAGCCCAGGGGCTCTCTGTACTCCTCTCTTTGAGTGGATTTGGGGGGATAACCAGAGTGGGGCTTGTCCTTCAGCTTGCCTGGAGCAGGGAGTGGGAACTCAGCTGCTCTGAGGAATTCAGTAGTTCCTGTTTGATAGGACAGCAGGGCTCCTTAACTTCCTTTACTGGAAATCTCAGCTGGGCATGCCAGAGCTCTGTAGCACACTTAGACCCCAGAATTCTGGAATCAGAGCTGGGGGTATTTGGGGACTGGCAATCTCCTGTTCCCCACCCACCCGGTGAGTGACAGATGAAGCTCAAAAGGAGAGAAATTTACTCAGGATCAGAGTACCTAAGGGACACAGCTAGGATTTAGACTTGTATCTATCTTGGGTCACCCTTCCACAAACAATTGATGAGGTCCTACTATGTGCTGGACCCTTCTAAGCATGAGCATGAGAGTAGGATCTTCTCAAAGGAATTGGCCTGATTTATCTGTGTATTGTGTTTGGTGCACGGTCTAGTACAGAGGAGAATGAATGAATGAACAAACAAACAAGGCAAAGTTCCTGCCTCCTGGCATTTAGAGTCTAATGGAAATAGGAAATTGGAGGCTGGTGGGAGTGGGAACTGATCAGGTGAAAGGCAGAGAGAGGCCTGGAACACGGGTATCCTGACTGCTGGTCCAGGGCTTTTCCCTCATCTGTAAAATGGAGTCCACAGGCCTACCCTATGCTGTCCTTCTGAGGCTCCAGCTAGGTGGTAGCTGTGATAGCAGCGTATGAGCTGTGTGTGTGCCCAGAACTGCCCAGATATCCCATAGGGTCTGCTTCCTTTCTCTGCCTGCTTACCTTCTACATCTTGCCTCCATTTCCCTGGCTTTCTCCAGGGTCTTTCTGGAACATTCTGCTCAAAACCCCTGGCTGTGGGAGGGGTTTAAGAAGAGTGTAGGTGAATAGAGTCTGCCTGCCTCCTCCCACATCCATGAGGCCCCCAGTGCACACCAGGCCGGAAATGCCTTGGTAGTGGTTACCATGGTGACGAGTTCTGCTGCTTGGACCTCCACAGCCTGTGAGCTGTCTGTAAGAGCCTGCAAGCTTGGCAGCCTGGCATCCTGCAGGCTCCCACCCAGCCTGTGAGCGCCTGGGGCGGCTGCCCTCCTCTCTTCTCAGTACCTAGCACTGAGTACCCAGGGGCTCTCAGAAATGAGCTACTTCTTTGGGAACCCCCAAACTGTTTTGGGTCAGACAGCCTGGTTCAAGTCCTAGTTGTACTACTTAGGGGCCAATGACCTTGAACAAGTCACCTTGATGTGTTTTGAACTTATTGAATTAGCTATAGGAACTTCACAGGAAGAACAGGAGTCCTCTCTGCCCCCATCCTGCAACTGTAACAAGGTCAGCCTCTGGTCCCAGCTTTTCGCTGCTGAATCCAGGCCCAGCACCCTGGACTCATCATTTCAGTCCCAGGAGGCCCTGCAAGCTGTGTCCTGAGGTCAGAGCTTAGACTCCAAGCAACCAGACCTCTGGCATCACAACTGGGCATTGCCACTTATTTCGGCCTCAATTTGCTCATCTATAAAATGAGGAGAGCAATGTACCTGTCTCAGAGATTTGTTGTGCAGATAAAATTGAATTAGTACATACTGAATGCTCAGGAAAGTATTCGATACCTTTTTTAAAAAAGATTTATTTATGCGTACAAGAACCGGGGTCTAAGCCAGAGGTGCGGGGGGAGGGGGGGAGGGTAAGAGGATTCATCAGAGAGAGTGGGGAGCAGAACAGGCAGATAGACTGAAATACACTGCTGAGGGGAGCAGCGGGCAAGGCAGGAGAGGTCTGCTGTACCATGTGGGCTGCTTCCTGGCTGGCTGGGGATCCAACTGGTGCTGCAGTGGCTGCCTATAGCTTGATAGCACTGTCTTTAACCCCTGTGCCACCAGGGAAGCTCTGAGGATTCAATACTTAATAAATGCTATGTAAACGTCGGATAGCCCTGATGATGTTATCACCAGCAGCTCTCCTTCACAGACTGGTTAGGAAGAGCAGGCCAGAGAGACCTGATGGCAACTTGGCTTCCCTTCTCCCCCATCCCTTTAATACCAGGGACTGCCAGGCGTTTTCCCCCACCTTTTCTCCCTGGGAATTGAGACAAGTTGGGCCCTGAATGACAACACCACTTATAATTCATGACTTTGAAGATTTTCTCACTGCCAACTGCTGTCCTGGATTACAAAGCTGGCCTGTGACTGCCCCGAGCCTCCCAGACAGCAGAGCCTGGTGCTAAAGACAGGGAGCACCCAGTGGGGGAGTCCTTCTGACGTCCTTAGAACGAAGGAGCCCCAGGAGGGAACCCTTTGGGGCTGAAATAACTGCTTCTTGAAACACTTGACTAGAAGCATATCCCTAGGCTTGTTGGCTGGTGGGCTTCCCTGCTCACAGGGGAATCTTTCAAGAATGAGGGTAAACCTGTAAAAAGCTGGCCCACGAGCTGAAGTGAGGAGGACTGAATTCTCTGTTCAATTCCTCTCTCCCCTTCCCACCCCTCAGGTTCAAGGTTGTATTAACATGATGTTGTTGGCCAAAAGGAAACTGAGCATAAATGATATCCAGAGAGTCCTCTGGGGTCTGAGACTCTGGCGGGAGGACAATGGTCACTCTTGGGGTTGGGTTCTGGTAGGAGGAGGCCCCGGTATGCTCACACTCCTTCTGGCCCTTCGTTCTCAGGGTCCGGCAGACCCGGGAGGCCCTGCCGTGAGCTGACCTCTCTGTCCCTCCCTGTGTGCCAGGGCTTGGCCTCTGTGTTCTCGAGTCGCACCTCCCGGAAGTCAGCCTCACGTGCAGAGGACAAGGACGGCATCATGGCAGACGGTGAGGACTACAGAAACCCCACAGAGGTGCAGATGAGCCAGCTGGTGCTGCCCTGCCACACCAACCAGCGTGACGAACTGAGCATCGGGCAGTTACTCAAGTGGATCGACACCACGGCCTGCCTGTCTGGTGAGACTGCACTGCCCAGCTGTCCCCTCCCCACCACATACCCAAAGAAGAGGTCTCAGTTTCCAGAGAGGGTCACTGTCCCCCTGAGTGCCTTGTTCTGCGTCTTGCCTTTGCTCTTGCCGGTCCACCTGCCTGAAATACCCGCCCCAATTTCTCATTGCTCAGCTTGGGCCCATCTGTTCAACCCTAAAACCCCTTATTTCTGAGCGTTGGTCCCATGCCCTCAGGGCTGTGCTCCAGGACCACACAGCCTTATAAGTGGCTGTTCTCAGAGTGACTTAGGAGCACTATGGGCAGAGACCATGCTCTCTGCCTTGCCCAGTTCCTGGCATTGAGTAGAGTGGAGTTCAGTGGAATTGAACTTATTTCAGTGCTTTTGAGGAACAAGTCATCCCCAACCCAGGGGGAGCTTGAAGTCTGAGGTGTGTGTGTATATTGGTGCCAACAAGCAGCGTAGCTGCCCCATGGGGCTGTTTGATGGAATGGGAAAGAGAAGTGGTAGCAGGACTTTGGGTGAACAGATTAGAGGTCCTGACCCAGCCCTAGGGATAGAGAAGGGTTTCCAGAGGGTAAGAATGACTCAGGCAGGATAACGGCTGGGAAGTAGAATAGCATAGAGTGGTCATTCATTCATTCCACAGCTACTTACTGAGCCTCTGCAGTGTGCCAGGCACTGTTCCAGGATGGGGCACAGCAGTGAACAAAGCAGGCAAGATCCTTGCCCTCCAATAGCTTAGAGCAGAGCAGAAGGGAGAGATGCCAGCCAGATAGATCAAAGCAGGTCAGGGTATGGTACTATGTAAAACTACTATTTAAAAGAAAAGTAAAGAGTGTGGGGTTGCAGGCGAGGAGGCCTGGCCTTAACTGAGTGGTCTGCTGTTTGATCAGAGGCCTGAGTGACAAGGGAGTGTGCTAACGCATGACTTTCTTCTGATGCCAGCCGAGAGGCACGCTGGCTGCCCCTGCGTCACAGCCTCCATGGACGACATCTATTTTGAGCACACCATCAGGTAAGTGGCCACTCCCGCTTCTTGGTTCCTCTGTTCTCCTCACCATGAACCCAGGTCTCCCCTCCTTGTCAGCCTGTGTGCTGCCTGGAACCTGATAGTCTGACCAAGGGTCTTTGCAAATCCAGTGGGGGAGCTTCAGGGAGCAGTAACCTGACTGACTGCAGGGCCTCTGGGGACAGCATTGGGTTAGGAGCTGGCCTGCTGCTGAGTGCTATGGGGTGGGTTCCCTTGGCCTGGGTGGGGCTAAGGAAGTTGCTTCAGGCTTGGAATTGGGCATTGTTGAGACAACATCAAGTGCTGTGTGACTTTGGGGAAGTCCATCTCTTTCTCTGGGCCTCAGTTTTCTTATCTGCAAAATGGAAGGATTAGACTTAAGCAGTGGATGTCTTTTGAGCTTGCACATTCTGTATGGATCATGGTCACTCTACTGTAGGGAGGCTCCAGGCAAGGTGTCCTGGCTCAGTCTGAATTGGAAGATGACCATTCAACTTCTGTTCACATGGCTTCTGTCACATAGCTCACATATGCTCACTACTCTTTGTTTTGTTTTAAAATGTCTGTATTTGTTAGAAAGCTCTTCATTGCACTATGCTAAGCTTTGCTTCTATTCTGCTGGGACTCAAGAAGAACTTTGAGTCTCTGGTGCAGGACAGGCTGCAGGGGCTGCATTCAGTGCTTTGGCCTGAGGTCTGCCTCTGAACTCTCCCTCAGCGTCTAGCCCATCGGGGCTTACTTAGAACTTCGTGTGTGCCCAGTGTGTGATAGTTAAGGAAAAAGTTTGTCCGGTCCCTGCATTCTTTCATTCAGTCTTTCATTACTGCTTGCACCTTTTCTGGACCAGGGCCCCTGCTGGGCTTAAGTCCCTGGAGCATAGTCCCCACACCTGGCAACTCCCAGTCTGCTGGGAGGCAGCTATAGAAGCAAATTTCTTTTCAAAAGGTAAGTTCTGGGTCTCCCTGGTGGTGCAGGGGGTTGGGGTGCAACCTATGAGGCTGTCCACAGCCACTGCAGCGTGAGTTCAATCCCTGGCCGGGTGGGAAGCAGCCCACATGGCGCAGCAGATCTCTCCTGACTCGCCCACTGCTCCCCTCAGCAGTGTACTTCAGTCGATCTGCCTGTTCCGCTCCCCACTCTGTCTCTGGTAGACCCTCTCACCCCCCACACCTCTGACCTGTGCCCCAGCTCTTGTATGCATAAATAAATAAATCTGGAAAAAAAACAGGTAAGTTCTGTGCTAGTAATGAGCTCTGACATGTAGGTGCTTCATCATGCTTTTTCTAATTGCCTTTTATTTTAGAATAGTTTTTGATTTACCAAAAAAAATTTGTATCTCTGACTATAGTACAGAGAATTTCCATGTACCCACACCCAGTTCCCCTATTATTAACATCTCACATTAGTATGGTAGCTTTGTCAATGCTTTTTAAATACATTAATGAATTCTATCCTTGGAACAACATTGTGTGAACCTCGTTATTAGTATCCTCACTTTAAAGATGAAGGAAATTGAGGCACAGAAAAATAAAATAACTTGCTTTAGGTCATACAGCTAGTGGAGGACACAGGACATCCTACCAGGCAGGGAATCTGCCCCAGAGCCTTTGCTTTTAACCATTAAGTTATATTTCTATGTGTCTGGGGCATAGAACATAACCAAGGGAGACTTCCTGGAAAAGGTGTTTGAATTGGTCCTACACAGTCTGCATTGTATGTAGTGACACTTTGAAGGCTGGGGGAGCTGTGTCTGGACCAGCTCTGCCAACACAGCATCTGGCACTCTCATGAGGCAGGGATAGAAAAAACCAGAAAGGATCCTGGGAAGGAGAGCAAGTTGGGGAGGGCCTAGAGCATGACTGGTGACTTGGAAAGGCCTGGCGGGCACCTAGGAAAGGCTAGGGAAAGGTTTTGGTTTTTGCTTTTGTCATTTAAAAAATTTCAAATGTAGCTCTCTAAAATGTAAGAATTCTTTAAACATAACCTTACTACCATCAGCACATCTAAAACAAAAGATAATAATTTCTCACTAACATCAAATAGCCAGTCAGAATTCAGTTGCCCACAAGTCTTGTGACTTTGTTTTGCTTTCCAGTTATTTTTATAGTTCAAGTCAGGATGCAAACACAGCCCTACTTAGCTGCTGTGTCTCTTCGGTCTTTTTTTTTTTTAATCTAGAGATGTTACTCCTCCCTGTGAGATCCCTTACTCCCGTGTCTCTCTTTCTTTTGCTGTCTTTCTGTCTCTCCTTTTACTTGAAATTTCTTTGTTGAGGAAAGCCAGTCATTTGCCCTCTAGAGTTTTCTATCCTCTGGGTTTGCTGTTGGCATCATTGTGGTGTCATTGGCCATGTCCTTGGTCCCCTGAGTCTACTGGTCCCGGGGAGGGGCTTGCATGAGCTGGCTGTTGTTTGTGGGAGCTGCCTCTGCTATGTGAGGAACACCTGCAGGGGAGAGGGGCAGCTGAGGAGGCCGGGCAATGCCCTGGGAGGGACCCAGTTTGGTCTGTGGGATGGAAGGGAGTCAGGAAGGCAGAGAAGTTCTGAAGTCTAATGAGTGTCTTCTTGGCTTGTGGGGAAGCTAAGAATAAGAGGAGGAGGAAGAGGAGAAGAGTAAGAAGAGGAGGAGGAGGAGGAGAGTCACAAATTTCTTTTTCTATTTTAGCACCACAGAAAATAGATTTTTATTTTAGGGATCATGGAAGCTTTTTCCCTAATTTTTTACCATGAAAACTTAGAAAATGAGAGAAAAGTTGAATAGTGTAATGATCACCACTGAGATTCAATAATTAACATTTTGCTAAATGTGCTTTATCTATATGTGGATAAATAAATATATATACTTATTCCCTCCCTCCCTCTCTTTGAAACTGAACCACTTACAAGTAAATGGCAGGATCATACTCTCTGTTCCTCCACATGTCAGTATGTAGCTCTTCTTCAAAATAACGGTCCCTTACGTGATTATTAGTATGGCTAAAAAAATGACCAGGGAGGCAGCACTCTGTCTGCCCACCTGTGACTATGCAGCTGCTTCCTTTCACCAACTTTCTCCCTCTGCAGGGCAGCAGCTTGACTTTTCTTCCTCCGCCCTCAGCGGAGGCAGCTCTCCTCAAGGGCGCCTGCCTGCAACCATGCAGGCCTCTCTTAGGAAACCTGTCCCTTCGTGGTCAGCTCTTCCTGCCCGCTTGTGTCTACTATGCAAGTGTCTTTTACTATCCTGTCCCTTTTCTAATAAATCTGCTCTTTAAATATTAAAAAAAAAAAAAATGACCAGGGGTGGACAAGTCGCTGGCAAACGTGAGCCAGGCCTGGGCTAGGCTCAGGCTGCTTACTCTCCCTTAACCCTCAGTATCATGGCTTTTTTACTTTACAGACCAGGAAATAGGCTCAAAGAGGTGAAGTGACTCATCCAAGGTTACACAGCTTGTAGCATGATAGTGAAGGTAGAGGTTAATTAGAACCCAGGCCTCTGTGGTCCTTGCCACTATGTCCACTGCTGCCCCTTGGAAGGGGCCCTTCCTAGTCCTGGGGAGGAGGCTATGTCATTGCAGAAAGAAATAAGCTCTGTGCTCTGTTTGTTCATTAGCCACTGTGCAGAAAGGGGAAAGGACATGCTCAAGGTTACTCGGTGACTAGATGAGGCCAGAACCCAATCTCCTGCTGCCTCCTCCCACACTCCAGCAGCTGGTCATCCCCTGCTGCCTCCAGTTAGGCGACTCCCCTAGTCCATCTGACTTTTCATCCAGACCTGGGGATCATTCCAGAGGGGTAAGCTGCAGCTAGAGAGTGGAGCTAGTGCAGTCAATAGAATCAGTCTAGAATCCTGACTGTCACTCTTAGCTGGGTGACCTTGAGCAAATGGCTTACCCCCTCTGATGCTCCATCCCTCCTCAAGCCTCTCTGCCAACCTTGTTTTGAGAATCAATGAGGTAATCGCTTCTCGGCCTTTTGGCTAAGATCAAGTGGAGAATCAATGAGGTAGTGCACAGTGCCTGGCAAGTAGTAGGCATTTTAAAAATGTTTCCTTTCTCTTCCCACCTCTGCTTTTAGCCCTTTGCATTTATTAGACATTTAATATGTGTGGACTACATTAATTCAATGGGCCACTGTTTATGGAGGGCTTGCTCTGTGCTGTGTGCTAGGCCTTGGAGAGCCAATGATGAGCAAAACAGACGTGATCTTTGCCCCACTGAAATTTAGGGCAGTGGAGAAGACAGAGGTCAACCCTCAGGAAGAATTATAGGAGGGTGAAACTTACAGGACCTCAGTCGGGCAGGGAGGGCTTTCCTGAGCAGGGACCATTGAGCAGAGAGCAAATGGAAACTTGGGCATTAATTGGACAAAGGGACACAAAGGAAAGTGAGGGCAGGGGAAGGTGAATGGAATGATGCAATTATCTCAACCTCAGCTTCCCCACCTGTAAAATGGGTTTACACCATTGCTGCCTTACTTGGAGAACTTGGTGATATTGCAGATATGAATGTGCTCTGTGAGCCATGACAGGGTTCTGCCACTTCCCCTCGGCAGGCCCTAGGCTTCTGTTCCCTCCCCTGTCCCCTCTGGAAGGGTCACCTCCTGTTTCTCTCTCCCCAGTGTCGGACAAGTGGTGAACATCAAGGCCAAGGTGAACCGGGCCTTCAACTCCAGTATGGAGGTGTGTGGGGTGGGCTCTGCCTGGAGGTGGGCGGGTAGGTCTTCTCCTTCTTTCCATTCTTAGCCCCCATCCTAGCACACTCACATTCAGAGTCCTGGTTGAGGCAGCGAGATTTTGAAACAGCTGGCAGGGCTGGGAGTATCTTGAAGATCTTCTCGTCCAAAGCCCTGCATCTGAGGGAGTTCAGGGAAGGGAAGGGACTTGGCCCAGGGCCGTAAACCACATAGATTCCAACCTGGGACATGACATCCAGTATCTTGGCCTTTGAGCCTCAGAGTCTCTCCTGGCAGCCAGGTGGTCATAGAAGTGGGAGAAAATAGTTGCTGTCACTGAGCCTGGGGACAACTAGACTGGAGCAGGGAGAGTATTCGGCCCACTAGTTTAGCTCCCATTGCCTCTGTCTCCCCCTCTGTAAAATGGGGACATGACTCCTGTGCTGCAGGGCTCTGTGAGCTCTGGCAGGGACTCTTTCCTACCTATGGAGGTCAGGTCCAGGCAACTTCACCCACCTGGGCCAGGGGTTACTGAGGGACCACAGAGGCAGGGATAGCAGAGTCCTGACTGTGTCTCTGGCACCCCACAAATACTTAGGCACCCCCAGCCATCCTCAAGTGTCTGTTCTTTGAATTTGGTCACTCTCAATTTTATCTGCCTTAAGCCCTTTTGTAGATCAGTCTCATTTTTATCCTTTTAATAACCCTGGGAGCGTAGGTAGAATCACTCCCATTTTATAGGAAACTGAGGTCCAGAGAAGGGAAGTGACTCACTCAAGGTTTCCCAGGGAACAAGGAGTAGAATCAGAATCGACCCTTGTTCAGAATCAGAATCGGTCCTCTAGACCCAGTAGGTGATACAGAAATACCAGTGGCCAGACTTGGGGTGGACTTCCTGTCTCGAGCTGTGGTGCACTGTGATAGTGAGCTCTGGCTCTTACCTCCACCTTACTGTCCTCCAGGTGGGCATCCAGGTTACCTCTGAGGACATGTGCTCTGAGAAGAAATGGGTCGTGTGCAAGGCCTTGGCCACCTTTGTGGCCCAGAGGGAGTTCACCAAGGTAAGTGGCTACACCTGGCCACTCTGTGCTGCTGGAACACTTGGGACCTGTCAAGGCAGGACTGGACCAGGTGATGAGGCTGGGGCTGGTGGATGGTAAGGTGGGAACTTAGCAGGGAATCCACAGCCCCCAAAGGAAGCCCCACCCCCCACTTCAATCCAACCCTAGGGGTCTTCCCTCTCTCCTCTGCCCACTTCCTCCTGTGCCTCTCACCTGAGGATTCTTCAGGTCTTACTGTTCCCTTGCAAACCCTGCGGTGACATCCGCCTTCCTCTGTGCCTTTGCCTAATAAGGGGGCGAGGGATACTTGGAGGATGAATATGATGCATGTGTCGTCACAGAGACAGGAAGACGGGGATCAAGGAGGCGTGAAGACCTGTAATGATCTGCCAACCCCAGGAGTAAGATGGTGACCAAAGGGCAAGCCCTTGTGCTATTTCAGGGACTTGTTCTGAGCACCCTTCTGCCCCTCTGCCCGCAGGTGAAGCTGAAACAGATCACGCCGAGGACGGAGGAGGAGAAGACTGAGCACAGCGTGGCAGCTGAGCGCCGGCGCATGCGACTCTTCTACGCTGACACCATCGAGGACCTCCTGGCCAACTGTGTCATTCAGGATGGTGAGTGGCTGTGGGGGCAGTGGGCCACTGGCCTCCTGCATGCCTCCCACCCTGCGTCCCCACTGCGCAGAGGGAGGAGTGGTGTCTTCTCAGGATGTCCACCTACTGGTGGCCTCAGGCCTGGCTGACCCTCCAGCCTCCAGGTCTCCTTCAGGCAAAGGGGAGTGCTGGCCTCTTGTCCAGGTCCCAGCACTGTGAAGATGGAGATAGATGTACATCAAGTGCTCTGCGCCTCTAGGATTCAAGGCATTCAGGAGGGTAGTATTGAGCTTGACCTTGACAACTATAGGGTTTTTTAAAACACACGTGGATGGAGGGGTGGATGGATGGATGAGCTTAGATATAAAGACTAGAAGTAGAAATAATATGTAGATGTAGCTATAGAATAAAAAGCAAGACTATCTCCTACCCCAGTATTCAGGCCCCTTCAGAGTCAACACTCTAAGTTACTCATTTGGGGGCATCTTTCCCAAAGTGTTCCCTGTGTATTTAAGCATAGTACATATTACCTGACTCCTTTTTACCCCAAAGGGAAAGCACAGTACATACTGCTTGTATGTTGAGATGGCTTTTTTCCCCTTTAAAATGTATCTTAGAGATTGTTCTATACCCAGGCCTCCCTGATGGTGCAGGGGTTAAAGTCTCTGCCTATCAAACTATCGGTAGCCACCATGGCATGAGTTCAATCCCTGGCCAGGGAGCTACCCACATGGCACAGCAGACCTCTCCTGTCACACTGCTCCCCTCAGCAGTGTATTTCAGTAGATCCACCTTCCCTGCTCCCCACTCTGGTCTACACCCCAGTTCTTATATGCATAAATAAAAATAAATCTTTAAAAAAAAAAGAGAGATTGATCTATACCAGCTCACCAAAGTTTACTTTGAGCTGGTAAGATTTTGACACAGGGCACAGGCTGGACAAAGGTCCAAGGGGTTTGTTCACCAGTCTCCAGAATGATATCATGCAGAGTCTTCCTTGAGCCTAAAAGATGCAATTTTAGGACAAAACAGATGGGGTGCAGCTCCCAGGGTGGGGAGAGAGCACACAGCAGTGGCTAGACCCAGTGAAAGCAGAGAGGTGTACTGTGAATTCCAAGTACCCTCTCTATATTGAGCCTAGGGGCCGTGGCTGGGCAGGCCCAGCCCTTCCTCCCATCACTGAGGTCCCCTAAGCCATCATCCCTTCTGAATCCGTCCTGCTCTGACAGCATCCTAGCCAAGGACCCATCCAAGTGCCTTTGCCTGGCCTCCCAGCCCAGCAGACACTCAGCTTCATCTAGTGCTGTCGCTCTGCCTGCCCTCAGCTCCAGCTAAGACAGGCTCCATTGTGCCTGTGACTGTCCTGCCGGACTGTCTTTGGACCTTGGCTAGGCTGTTGCCAACCTCTCTTCTCCCCTTCTATGGCATCTCCAAGCAGCCTGCAAGACCAGAAAAATGTCTTCTCCTTGATGTGTCCTCCTGGTGAGGTCTCTCCCTGGGAAAGGAAGAGGAATGAGTTAGGTTAGGTGGGGCATGGGTTAGGTGGGGCATGTCACCCTGACCCCAAGGCCCTACCTATACTCTCGCCTCTTTTACTGAGGACATCCTAATGCCATTGTCCCCCAGGGATGGAGTGTGTCAGGTCAGAGAGAGGGGAGAGCTCTCCTTTGTGGTACGGTGTGGTGTGTGTACGAGGCTGGTGCTCAGTGCTCTGTGACCGCGATCACATTTCATCTTCACAGTATGTCAGGTGGAGTCTCATTTCTGCCCTCTGCAGATGAAGGAGTTGAGGTTCGGAGAGGTTACTTGACTTTCTGGAGGTCACACAGCCCTCATGGGGTGGGGCTGAGGCAGATTCGGTATGTCCTGTCTCTAAGCTGGTGTTCTGTCCAGTGCCTCATCGTTATTTCCTGCCATGCCTCATCCAGGTTCAGCACACTTTGTGTAGAGGAAGAATCTGGTTCGGTGATGGGGGTTCCAGGCTACCAGTGGGGACAGCCTGCCCTTGGGAACCATCTCACCTCCTGCCTCCCTCCCTCAGCCCCCTCCTGCGCAGATCTGGACAGCAGAGACTGTAGCCACGTGGTGCCCGCTGAGAGCACCCGTGTGGAGAGTGTGGAGCTGGTCCTGCCCCCCCATGCCAATCACCAGGGCAATGCCTTTGGGGGCCAGATCATGGCCTGGATGGAGAACGTGGCCACCATTGCAGCCAGGTAAGGGGAGAGAGTCCGCCTCTGCACCCCCTTCCTGCTCCTTCTTCCTTTGGCCTGCTCCCCAGCTTGGTGTTAGCATCAAGGTGTAAGAGCTTGGCTATGCTTTTAGGGTAAGTGGGGCTTTCAGACCCAGACAACCAGAGAGGAATGCTTTTCTGTGAGCTCATCAGTCCTTTCTCGATGGTTTCCATCCCCTGTTTGAAAAACACCATGCCCCTTGACCTGGCTCTGGGCCTCTCCTTGACTCCCTGCGTACTCTTTCCCTTGTATCTTATGCTCCCTTCAAATCAAGCCATTTGCCTCCCCAAGTCTCACCCTCTGCGTTCCCAGCTGTGGCCCTGCCTCCTGGTCTTACTTCCTGCCATGGCACCCCTACTATTCTAGGTCAGGTAAAATCCTGCCCACCTCCTCCGCGAAGCCTCTGTGACTGTTCCCTGCTCCACAAGGGGAAATAATTTCTTTCTTCTCTTACAGCCTCTACACCTGTCTGGGGTTTGTTCTCTAAATGTCAGGGTATTTTTTATAGTTTTGGTAACTGACATTCACTCACGGACACTGTCATAGCGCTGTGAATTTGTACTTGGTATGCCCTCTGCCAGCTTTGCCTGCACCAGCATACAGCCACTTCATCCAGGTGCATGCTCCTCACCCTTTAGAGGCTTGCTCAAGTCGCCCTCCTCTGTGTTAACCTTTTGGATACAGGCTATGAGTATGATGAGCTCAGAGGAGAATCAGAATTGGGATAGTCAGGGAAGTCTCCCTGAAGGAGGAGCACTTGCTTGGGAAGTAGTTTTGGGTAAAGGGAGGGCTTCTAGGAGTAGGAACAGCAGGTGCTAAGGTGTGAAGATGGAAAGGAAAATGGGAAAGGAATTTTTCTAAGCCCTGCCCTAGGTTTTCTTCTGTCACCTCAATACTCAGCCATGCACCTAGACCTCAGTATTCTCAGCTGTAAAATGGGACTTCAGTTCTATTTCCTTGGGTGGTTCTGTGCTGTTCACTGGTTTGGGTGGCAGGCCAGAGGGCAGAGCCTATGGTTCTGCACTGGGTCTGGGTGATGGAGTATGGGAGGTTATTTGCCCAAGACTGTGGTTGAAATACTGGGGCATTTCTTCTGTTCTCCCAAACCCTGGCCCCCTGCAGTCGACTGTGCCGCGCTCTCCCTACACTGAAGGCCATTGAGATGTTCCACTTCCGGGGCCCATCCCAGGTTGGGGACCGCCTGGTATTCAAGGCCATTGTGAATAATGCCTTCAAAAACAGGTGAGGGGCTGGGATGGGCGGGATGGGCACTGGGGCTAAGGGCTTCTCTGACCCCAGAGGGACCCTGCTGGCAGAGCTACCAGGAACCCTTTGTCCTGCACATGAGCTCTCAGCCCTGCCTGGCTGCTGGCTCCCTTCACCATCGCCCAGATGCAGCTCTGAGGTCCCTTTCTCTGGGCTCCCTCAGGCACACCACGTGCTCTATGTGTCTGCCTCCAGCTCCAGCCTCCAGGCCTGGCATGCTGTGGGTGCTGAGATCGCAGACCACCTCTTAATCCCACCCATTTCTGAAAACAATTAGTCCCCAAAGCACTTACCTGATGCTCCCACGAAAACTTACTTTAAATTTGTATCTTTTTGGTGATTTCAGAGATTATAGTGTAGTGGTTAAAAGTGAGGGATCTGGAACCAGGCCACCTGGGATCCTGTTTGGCTCCACCCCTTATTGTCTGTGTGACTTTGGGCAAGTTACTTAACCCCTCTGAGTCTCAGTCCTTTCACTGTGATAAGATGCTCACCATAAGTATCTCATAGTTGTGAGGATGCAATGAAGTGTTACTAGCAGAAAGCCAGAAAAACACGTGGTGATGGCCAACCTTTGCTGCTGCTTGTGTTAGTATTCATGTTCACAGTCTACTCAGCACATATTCTGCTGCTATGCAGGGAAAAAGCCCTGAACGAGAAGCCCTAGTTCCTGCTTCCTGTTCTCTTCCTAACTGTCGTGTGACTCAGGCATGATGGTCCTGACCTAGATCTTGGTTTCCTGTGTTCTGGGCTCTTAGCCTTCCAAATTGAGAGGGAAGGGTGGTGACTGCTACTTTTTAATTAATAAAGACAGAAAGATGTACAGTGACAGCAGCCACCAAGCTGTCAGGGCACAGCTGTTAAGCGCTGGGAATGTGTGCATGATGAGCGTGTTTTCTAACTAGCTCTATGCTCTACCTCTTCATTTGGGTCCTGTCATAATTCTTTGCAGTGTACCATGATATATTTTATATCTATGTTGTTGCCCCCCTCCCCCAGCTGGTAGCTCATGAGTGCACGGAATAGGCAGTCTTGCTCATTTGTGTCCCCAGTGATTGGGCAGGCCGGGCAGGCTGTCTGCGCTCTGCCAGCGCTCATGAGGGGAACTGTTCTGGTTCCCTGCGGGTCTGATCTGACCGCTGAAAGAACGGTAAGAGTGTGCATGAGGGAGTGCTGCGGGGAAGGGCTGTCTAGCGTGGACATGTCCCTCCCTGCCCTCAGCATGGAGGTGGGCGTGTGCGTGGAGGCCTACCGCCAAGAAGCTGAGGCCCACCGGCGGCACATCAACAGCGCCTTCATGACCTTCGTGGTCCTGGATGCAGATAACCAGCCTCGGATGCTGCCCTGGATTCGGCCCCAGCCTGGGGTGAGTAGGGGCAGTGCTACCCTGGAGTGGTGGGACCTGCTAGTCCCTGTGAGGCCTGGGGAGCACCGGGATCAGCCCTGCACCTCTGTGGGGGGACACAGCCAGTTTTGAGCGCCCAGTGTGACTCCTGGAAATGCCCCTGTGCAAGGTGGGCCCTTGTTCTATCTGAAAGACCACGTGGGTGAGCCTGGCTCGTACTTGGGTGTTGATAGGCCTTCACAAGCCTGTAGAGTTGGAAGAGCACTGACTTAGGAGTCAGATTGGGTTGGTACCCTGCCTTCGCCATGGTTTGGTGGTGCCCTCTGCAAGCTTCCAGTTCCCATCTGTAAAGTGGGTGTATCTGCAATCCCAGCCTCACAAGGCTATGGAGTGAGTTGTCTTTGGAGGTACTGACGCTGTGTCTGGCTGAACCCTGTGGGCATCAGTACGTGGTGACTGCTATGATAATGGTGATAGGGCAGAGATGAGAGCCAGGGGCCTGGGTTCAAAGACTGTAAAAAAAAGTGCTCCCTTATGCCTCCTGTGGGCCATGCCCTGGCTCACTTACAGGAAGTGACTTTCGAGAAGTTGTTCCCTCTCTCTGGGAAGGCTCACCACTCTGTCTGCCCACCTCACAGGGCCAAGCATGGGCTGTGAAAACCCCTGCTCCATAGGTGGACTTTGGGCAGTAGAGTAGGTGGTAGGTGGGGGTTCAGGAAACCGGTGGGTGGGCCAGGTGGTATACAGTCCACAGGGTGCCTTTCGGACCTTCGCCATTTAATGCTCATGAGTGGGGAGGCTTTAGAAGTAGTGATTATTAGGGTGAACTCCAGGCCATTAGGGTTTTGTTCCTGGTTCTACTGCTTACTCCTGTGACCTTGGGCAAGACACTAAACTGGTCTGTGCCTCAGTTTCCTCCCCTGTGCAATGGGTATAGTACTAACTGCAGAGGATTGTTGCAAGTCTTAGATGGGATTTTGCACAGAAAGGACTGTAAGAGTGTCCCGTACATAGCGAGTGTGCAGTGCATGTGCTACTTATTAACTAACAGATACCCATTAGGAATCTCCACTTACCCAGGAGCAATCTGAGTTGCAGGAGGGCAGGTGCTGTTGCCCAAGTCACGTAAGTCTGAGGGAAGCTGGGGCTGGAGCTCAGTCCCCAACATTTGCCCATGCAGGTTGCTTTGACTGTGGCTGCTTCAGTGAGACCTGAACTCCACTTTAGGGCTGCAGGGCTTCCTTGGGCCCTTGGGGGGCAGAGAGCAGTGGTGTTGGGGTGGGGAGAGCAAGCTAAGCATCCCACCCACACCACAGTCTGTCCCTGCTTCCCTCCCCAGGATGGTGAGCGGCGGTACCGGGAGGCCAGTGCCAGGAGGAAGATCCGCTTGGACAGGCAAGTGGGGCTGGGTGGGGACACAGGGTTCAGGGCCTCTGCCTGGCCCCTGCGACTTTCATTTCTCCAGAGCTGCCGCCATGCTGGCTCTGGGCTGGGCCCTTCATATCCATGCAGCCTCTTATGTTCACTTTATTGTGCAGTGGCTTTGCGGGCCCATGGTACAGGGCAGGACACTGAGAACAGGGGTGTTTGGTGGCTACAGACATACAAACAGGAATGATTGGCAGAGTGAGATTTGAATCTGGCTGGGTCTGCCAATTTTCACGTGTTCCTTCATGGACTCTGTTGGCTGCTTGGCAGATGAAGTAAGAAAAGCTCAGGGAGATGCATTTGCTCAAGGTGCGAACCCCGGTGTGAAACACTCAAAGCACTTTACATACTTGAAAGTTCAGTGCTCACACCGGGCTTCTCAGACCACTGTTAATAAGAAAGGTGCGTGGATGGAGAATCTGCCAACCCCATGTGCCTCTCTTGTGATGACACCATCAGGCAGTTGTGACCCCGATCCCATTCTGCATGAGGATACTGAGGCATGAGTGTGACATCACTTGGCTGGAGTGGACTGCTCAACAAAGGTGTGGGGTCTGAGCCTACTTCCCCCAGGACCCCGGCTCCCCATCTACTGTTGCCTCTGAGACTATGTTCTCAGCTTCTGTTTTCTGTGTGACCATCCAGTCTCCATGGCCACCTCACAGGCATCTCTCCCACTGCATTAGGCACACAGGACCCTGCACACAGTAGGTCTACGGTGAAGCCTATCGAAAAAAATGGGCTGCCAGGGCCTCCCCGGTGGCGCAGCAGTTGAGCGCTGGGTTGCAAAGCTGCCCGGGCCTCTGCGGCGCCGGTTCGATCCCCGGCTGCTCCCCGGCCACCAGAGGAGGGTCCCACATGGCGCGCAGACCTCTCCTGCCGCCCACTGCTCCCCTCAGCAGTGTACTTCGGTCCTTCTGCCTGCTCTGCTCCCCGCTCTGGCTCTGGTGAATTCTCTCACCCTCCCGCGCTTCTGACTGTACCCAGTGCTTGTATAAACAAACAAACAAACAAATAAATAAATAAAACAAAATCTTAAAAAAAAAAAAAAAAAGAAAAGAAAAAAGAAAAAAATGGGCTGCCAAAAGACCAAGGTTGCCATCTTCCTTCTCTCCCAGGAGGTACATTGTGTCCTGTAAGCAGACGGAGATGCCCCTGTCAGTCCCCTGGGACCCTAGCAACCAGGTAAGACCCTCTGCTCCAAGAGAATAGTCTTCAGGCCCTCTGGGGGCTCCCCCCTCCCCAAACCAAAGTGGGTTTGGAGGCGGGCCTGAAGAGGGCTGGACACTAATGCCATGCCCCAAGATAGGTACAGTCAGCAAAGGATTTTCCTATACCCCACGTCTCCCTCCCATTTTGGCAGGAAGCCCTGAGACGGGTGACTTGTCCAGAGTCACACAGAGAATGACCAAGCCTGGCCTCCTTCCCAAAGCCCAGGGCTCTCCCCAGCGCCACCTCCCCCATGGCCCAAGTTCCTCGGCCTCAGCACCAAGCCCTGAGGAAGCAGAGAAAGTGAAGGTCCTCTGTGTGCTCTATCCAGGTGTACCTGAGCTACAACAACGTCTCTTCCCTGAAGATGCTGGTGGCCAAGGACAACTGGGTGCTGTCCTCAGAGATCAACCAGGTAGTTCACCCCACCCACCCCACTTTCCTTTCTCCTCTAAGCAAGCAGAGGGGACTGATGGCAAACAATAGAAACTCCAACCGCTCAGGACAAAAGGGGATTTCTTGAAAGAAAGTGGAAGAGACCATGAAACCCACCCAGTTACATACCTGCCCCATAGTGCCTGGCACAGAGAACCTCACATCCTTCTACCTTCACATCTGGCCCCCCATCTCTCATTTCTGCTACTCTTTACTCAGATGCCCCCTTTGTTCTCTGCTCCTTCTATGGTGAGTCCCTGCAGGGATGGAGGCGGGCGGGAACAAGCAGGGGCTGAGGGAAGACTAGACCTCAGCCACTCTTGCCCTTGGACAGGCTACTGGGCACCAGGCTCTGAGGACCCATTTCATTACTGCCTTACACACCACTTGTTAAGATACTTTCTAGATACCTTAAGATGGTATCCACTTGTGCTGAATCCCCTCGATAGCCCATTTTCATGGGGATATAAATGAGGCTCAGAGAGGTTGAGTTGTTTGTTTGCCATCACATAGCAGGTCAGTGGCAGCTCTGAACTTCCAGTCCCAGCCTCCAGCAGTGAAACACCCAAAGTCACCCATCCCCTGGTGGGTAAATGCCCAGCCAGGCAGGGTTGGCCCAAAGTGGGGACACTGAAACCCAAAAGTTTGCCACAAGTCTAAGGCACCATCTGACAGGGAACCACAGGAAAAGGGGCAAAAAGGGCCAGGCAAGTCTTGGACAAAAGGAGGAAAATTAAAGCACAAGATAAAGGCCGCCATTGTCATCCTCTTCATGTGTCTCTAAGCCATGACTTTCTCTCTTGACTCCACATGTCTCTTCCATGCCCCCCAAGTCCCTGGTAAGTCCAAAGCAAAGAAGCAAGTGCACCCTCCTTCGCAGGTCTCTGCTCCACATGTCCAGTCCTGTGTCCCCTCTAAGTCTCCTGTAACTTCATCTGGCTGCTCAGCTCCACCCCTCATTAGGTGGGACAGGGAACCTGGAACCTCCCCTTTTTATGGAGATTCCTCCCTTCAGACACCCCCCAGCATAGTCTGGGGAGGGGCCCAGGAATGAGGCAACTTCTGTTCCTTGCAGGTCCGCCTTTATACTCTAGAAGATGACAAATTCCTCTCCTTCCACATGGAGATGTTGGTGCAGGTGGACGCAGCCCAGGCCTTCCTGCTGCTCTCGGACCTGCTACGGAGGCCAGAGTGGGACAAGCACTACTGGTTAGAGCCGGGGCTCCCGTGAAAAGGGGCCCTTCTCAGGCCTGGTGGGAGGGCGGGTGCTTGGGTGTCTCCGCCTGGAGCTCTCTTCCATTATGTTTGGCTGCCCCCCAAGACCTTTAGCCGGAAGGGGGAACTGTAGTGATGTGTTAGGTGCTAGGTAAGGTCCTGGTAATTCTGAACCCACAGGGAAGGGACTGAACCTGGAATTGGAGGCCTGGGAGTAAGTTGTTTCTGGTTGTTAGCTGTGTGAGCTTGGACAGATCACTTTCTTTCTGAGTCTCAGTCTCCCTCCTCTTAAAATGGTTATTTGAGGGGTGGGTCATGGATTTACACTCAGGGATAGATCAATGACTTTTCAACTTGTTTTGGGTGATCCTAACAGGAGCTCAAGGACTGCTTGGGGCTGCAGGGAGGGGGAGTTAGAAGCTGAAGGGTGGGCAGGACATCCTCCCAGGTTTAGAACACTAGTAGAATAGACAGTCTGGAAAATATACCAAGTTTGCCAGTTCTTCTTATGGATATGCACGTGAATATATTATTTTTGAATGTAGCAAAAGGCTGAATATAAATGTTATTCCTATGAATACATTTGTTCCCCAAATTTACTGATTCTTCCTTTGAAAATCTTTTTGAATTTAGCCAAGGAAGATAAATATATTCTTGGGAAAATAGCCAGAATTTCACTGCTGAATATGGGAATGTTAAAAAAAAAAACTGGTATTTTTCAAATCTCTTTAAAGTAAAGGTTTTTTGATCATTTCTCCAGAGGCTTATATGAGGTACCTGTATTCTTGGGTATACCCATAAGGAGGATCTTGCATTTTGGAAATTCTGTGAGCAGGTTGTTTGGCAAGTTGATTCTTTACAAATCGGCCATCCTCTTCCTCTCCATCTAACTTCATCAGAGAGATCCCCTAGTAGCTATTGATTCTCATACTTTCTGCTTAATATTTCTGCAAATTGGACTTTAAAAATCCTTAATCTAGGTGACCGAAACCCACTGGCAAGGCCTGAAGAAGTCATTCAGTGGTGGATGTTGGGGTGGGGATTAGCATATGGTAGGAAGGCTTCTTGGAGGAGGTGTCTGGTGTGGGCCTTGAATGCTGGATCACATCTTGATACTTGATGGGGCATTGGGGAAGCCCCTTGCTGCTTCCCCCAGCTCTGCCTACAGCTCCCCTTTTCCTGCCCTTCAAGGTAGGGAGGGATTCCTGAGGAAAAGTTGGCAGGTCAAAACATGGTCATGTTCCTCTGTGTAGATGTCCTTGTGTGTTGGTGTAAACCTAGTGCTCATACCTGAGCATGTATGTGTGCTGTGCCCAGGCCTAAGGGCACAGCTCTCCTCACCAACAGCCTGAGTGCATCCCAACCCTGCTTCCTTATTAGCACCGTGGCTCATGGGTGGATTTTCCCTGGATCTCAACCCCCTTATCTATAAAATGGGGACACTAAGAGTCCCTACCATATAGGCCGTTTGTGGGGTTAAGTGATACTACATGAGGAACATTTGGAACAGCAGCTGGCACAGAGTGGCAATCAGTATTAAGATCCACTGCAAAGCCATCACACACCAGCCCAGGGTGCCAGGTACAGATGTGTACAGACGCTCATGGCTCTGTGTGTGTGTGTAGGTGAGTGTCTTTCCATGCGTCTGTGCACATGTGTATGCCTGGGTATGCATGTATCTGTGCATGTCTTTGTACCCATGCCTGCATGTGTGTGCACATTTGCTTCTGTTAGTGTGTCCATCTTGCCCGGGAACCCCTGCTCTCCCATGGTACCTCTCTGAGTGGCGGGGGTGGGGAGCAAAATGTCCCCCAAGCACCTGCTCAGGGAGGCTGAAGCATAGAGGGCTGGGGCCAGACATCTCTGGCACAAGGAGTGGGGGTGGCTCCCTGGGCCCTGAGCTCCAGCCTTCCCTGCAGGAGAGTGGAGCTGGTGCAGCAGGTGGATGAGGATGACGCCATCTACCACGTCATCAGCCCTGCTCTCAGCGCTGACCCCAAGCCCCAGGACTTTGTCATCCTTGCATCTCGCCGGAAGCCTTGTGACAATGGGTGGGTGTCTGCCCACTGGGGTGGGAGGCGGGCAGGGCTCATCTCCCCCCAGTGTGGGGGGTGTCAGTCAAGAGTTGCAGCCCTGCTTCCTACTGCAGAGGGGCCCAGGCACCACTGGCTTTTCTAGCCCACCATGGTCTTACTGTGGGTACGATGGGCACACTTGTGCTCTGAAGCAGGGTGGGAGACACCTGAGGCTGCCTTGTCCCAGGCCATGGGCAAGTCCCCTCCTTGGCCTCCATCCTCTGAAAGCCCCACATTGTCTGAAGGTACCAGGGCCCATGGCGTCCCTTTTGCAAGACAGGTGTAGAAAGAGGAAGCATGACAGTCCCAAAGTACCCATACCTCCCCTGAGTGCAGTGGAGGGGCTTTTCTGGAAAATCCAGGGAGGTCACAGAGCTCCTGGGGATTTCAGTGCTAACCCCCCAAGAGGGACCCCCCTCTTTGGCCTGGCCCAGAGCCAGGATTCCAGCCTTTAAGAGTTTATGTGCCTTAGACTGGTGAGGGCGTCAGGGCCTAGAGGGGCTCCAGAGCCTGGGCTGCCAGAACAGGCCCTCACCTTCCCCTGTGCCCCTCCCCACTCCCCCTCGGCTTCAGGGACCCCTATGTCATCGCACTGAGATCAGTCACACTGCCTACACACCAAGAGACGAAGGACTACAGGCGCGGGGAGACCCTTTGCTCTGGCTTCTGCATCTGGCGTGAGGGCGACCAGCTGACCAAGGTGAGGCCCGGTGGCCCCTTTGCCTCCTCCCACCTGAATCCATCCCATCTCCTTCGTCACTCATGTTCCCCTTCTCCTCCCGGAAGGCTTTACGTGGCTCTCAGGGCCTCAGCAGGGCAGTCAGTGTTCATTGAAAATGTCAGGGAGGAGGCTGAGCCAGTGGGTGGGGTACCGCAGATCTCCCCCACAGCTGCTGTTAGGGACTTGAGACTCGCCCAGGCGGGGAGTCTGCCAGTGTTGACTAACTTAATACTTAAAATACAGCTTAAACTGATGATCTTCTTAGAACAACCCCTGGGCTTATATATAAATTGTCTCTATGGCCGAAGCACATCTTTGAAGTGGGATTCTCTGCTGGACATTGGAGACCTGTCCTTGTCCTCCTGGGCCTCAGCTGTCAGGGGCGATACACAATGACTATATGCAGTCTGTGGTGACAGAGGAAGCCCGGGTTGTCGTACTAGAAGGAGGGGTCAGGGCACAGCAGCTGGAGGTCTCAAAATCATCTAAGGCCCCAGAGGCAGAGAGCAAGGCTGACTCCCTGGCCTGCCTCTCACCCCTTGGCTCATACCCGCCCCTGGCCCAGCCTCCTGAGTGACTTCCTGTCCTGCAGGTGTCCTACTACAACCAGGCCACCCCAGGCCTTCTCAACTACGTGACCACCAACGTTGCTGGCCTCTCCTCTGAGTTCCTCACCACCTTCAAGGCTTGCGAGCAGTTCCTCTTGGACAACCGGAACGATCTGGCCCCCAGCCTCCAGACTCTCTAGCATCCTCAGTGGCTACCTCATGCCCACTCCATCCTGCCCCCAAGGACAAACATGCAGTGTGTAGATTCAGGCAGGAGTTTATTCCTCCCTGCCTCCCCCGTGGGGACCCGTGACCCAAGATCCACTGACCCAGAGCCACCCGGCTGTTAGTTTCTGTTGGGATCTGCCAGCAAGTCCGCACGGAACCTCTGGGGCAGCCTATAGTAGACTCGGGTCCTGTCCTCAGCTCTGGCTGCCAGCAGTGCTGCCTGCACAGATCCATAGTTGCCCTTTGCAAGGCTGTGCTCCACTGTGACAGTGGCCCGGGGGGAGGCTGCCAGCAGCCTGGCAATGGCTCCAGCCTTGCTCTGGCCCAGTGGCCCAGCCTGCAGCTGGAAGGACACAGGCTGCCAGAGGCCCCGGCACAGCTCCAGCATGTCTGTGAGCAGCTGTTCGCTGTAGCCGCTGCCCAGCACCTCCTCTGGCCAGCTTGGTGCCAGTGTCACATGGGGGAAAACCTCAGTCACAGCTGTAAGCAGCTCCCTGCCTTCCACATGGCCAGGGACCACAAAACTCCCATGGGAGATTGTGGCCCCGACCCACACAGGCCGAGACAGGCTGCCGAGGGTGGAGAGGTGATTCAGCACGGCCAGGGATGGCCGGAGCGCGGTGGGCTCTGCTATGTGCAAATGCACACCCCAGCGGCCAGGGTTAGCGTCGAGCTGCAGCAGGCACGACTCCAGCGTCAGGGCAGGGCCACCCGGGGCATAGATGATGGGCACAGGCTCCCCAGCTGCAGACTCCTGGAGGCCAACGTTCAGCAGGATCATGCCTTCTCTGCCTGGAAGCAGCAAAGCGGCAACTGTGTCTGGGGGTCAGGTTATCATGGCGGTGTCAGAAGCTCTTGTTAAAGGGACAGCAGGGTGGTAATGGGGGCTGCAAAGGAGAAGCTGGTGCTTGTTCTGTCTGGGAGCTGTCAATGCATGTCTGGGCTCCAGGTGGAAAAGCTGCTTTATAAATGTGCCTGGGGCTCATCAGAATGAGGCGATAAGCTGCTAGAGTTCAGCTTGTGGCTCTTGACTGTGGCAACCTGGTGCTTACCTCTTCTGTAGTGCCTTGTGGCTGACTGTTCCAGGGCACTGGTCAGAAGAGCCTTATGCTCTTGATGCCACTGTATACTGTCCCCCTCAACCAGCAGCCTGCATGTTGCCATGGTAACAAAGACTGGAGCTACCTACCCCAAAAGAAATCCCTGCACTTAAGCTAGGAGCACAGGGGCCACAGACAGAACTTACCTGGGAGTTGAACTTTTGCTGTTTTCCCACTGCCTTGGATGTCTGGAGCCAGCCACTCCACATTCAGACCGTCACCCCTGTGGGGCTGGAGAAGGGGGATCAGGCTGCCCCCCGTGTAGTAGATTTGCTTCCGTGTGGTATTCACTGTAGAATTCAAATTGTGAAGATGAAGTGGCCACCATTTACAGAGCATCTTCATGTGCTGCAGCCCTACATACACTCTAAACCTCAGAACAGCCTGCCCCGGAGCTGTAGCCATAAATCCCATTTTGTAGATGATGGGAAGTCACTTGCACAAGGTCCTACTGCCAGTAGGCAGAGTGGCTGGGATTGAAACTGGATGGAGCCAGTCCAGGTGGCACCCAAGCTGCTGTTCCACCCCCCCTCACATAGGTGGCTGCCACGGCAGGAATGTGTGTCTCATGGGTCCCCTTTGAGATGACTTAATTGCTGGCTCTCCTGGGTAAGCAGTCAAGGGAATGAGGGGTTTGGACAAGGAAACAGGCAGCATCTGGATCACTGATTAGTGGGTTCAGGGGAGGGGCTGCTCTCTGAAATGGTAGAGAAACCCATAGGAACTGTGCTGCTAGAAGTATACAGGGATGGAGTCTGCTGGGTCCCAATCTGATCTGTGCCACCAACACAACGGAAGGACTTTGTATAAAATAATGAACTGTTCAGAACCTGTTTCCTATAAAAACAATTCCTTGATCTTGGATCTATGAAGCTTAGCATATCATACCAGGGTCTGGCATACAGTAGGTACATAAAAAGATTGCTTTCCCCTTATTCCACCCAGAATTTCCCCCTCCCTCCCTGCCACCTCTGCTTCAGTGACCACTAAGTGCTGCCCTGTGCAGAACCCAGCCCCCCACCCCCGCCATCCCCCCAGACCACTCCCTACTGGCTAGCTTCTTGAACTGTGATAGGATAGGCTCAAAGAGGTCATAGTAGACTTGATGGGTGGCACAGTTGTCCCGGATGTAGAGGAGATCGTCCACTCTCATGGGGTCCATGGAGCCCTGCCACAGCGTCAGGCTGTACCTGGGGTACAGAGGACAGACTCAGCTCTTTCCAGGACCCAGCAGGGCTCTCGGCCCCTCAGTGCTCAGAACTGGACCTGCCTTGGGCAGGGGTGGAATGTCCAGTCTCCAACTTCCCACCAGTCCCTTCTCCCTGAGCACTACTCCCTCCCCTGGGGGGCAGAAGAAGCCTGGAGGCTTCAAGGAACAATGACTGAAAGCAGATCCAGGAGGGAGGGGTGACCTGCCTCAGTACTTGGAGTGTCTATTTCTGGGTCCTGTCTTAGGAAAGGACAGAGGGGATGAGCACAAGAGGATAGGGGAGAGGTGAGCTGTGAAGAGGGGAGGGGCAGCCTTAGCACTCCCATGCCTCCGGTGGTACACCCTTCCCAGAGTTATGTGAACAGGGACTTAATGGAGGATGGGCACTGTGTGAGTCAGAGGGCGAGGGGCCAGATGATCTTTAAGATCCTTTCAACCAAGAGCATCTGGGATCTTTCCTGGGGATATTAGGGTCTGGAGGTGGGTTTGCAGGGAGTAGAGGCCTGGGAGTTTTTACCTCTCAGACTGACCCAGCAGCCAGCTGAAGTGGGGCCAGGCCATCCGCACCATGGCAGCCCGCACAGGGAAGGTGACCCTCTGTGGCAGCGGTCCCACCAGCTCCTGCATCTTCTTCACCATGGCTTGGGTATATGTTCTGTTCCGAGACACATACAGGGTGGTCCAGCCTGGAGACAGGGTGACCTCAGGATACTTCTCCTGGACTAGGGCCAGGAACCTGCAGAGATGAGAGATGTCCATCTTTAGAACCTCGCTGGCCTCTTCCTCATCTCCTAGTTCCTATCACAATGCTAGGAAGTGACAGGACGGCTATGATAAATGTATGGACAGAAGCAAGCCTTAGAAACTGCTTGTTCCAGCTCCCACAAAGAGGACATGAACTTTGCAGTTGAGTTGTGAGGGTTCAGATCTTGACTGTGACCTTGGGCTCCTTAAACCCCTGATTCTCAAAACAACACCCCTTCAGTCAGGGCAGGGCCGCTTAAGCATCCCATGTGGACCAAGGACATGCAACCCTGAGCTCTGGGCATGGGCATCTGGGCTTTGCCAACTGTGAGAGTCTGAGGTTTTAGTTTTATTTTTAAATTTCAAATTGCCTTGATGCACTTTTTAATCGGCAAATGTTATCCCTTCCTCCCCAAACTATTGAGTAAAACCAATACTCCAAAAGACAAACTATTTTTCAAACTGCTGCTTTCTAAATGCACCTAACTTAGAGAATCAAAGTAAATACTGGCTGGCTGGTTGGATGAGAGGATGGATGGGTGGAGAAATAGATGGTAAAGAATGGTACTTAGAATCAGTAAGACCTGGCTTTGAATCTTTGCTCTGCTGGTACTAGACTTAGGCAGGCCATTTGATGTTGATGACTTAGCTCCTGTATTAATAAAATGAAAATAATACCTACCTCATTATCATTGTATGAGTTGAGTAGTGTTCCACAAGTACTTAACAGTGCCTGAGGCATGCAATAAATATTCAATAAATTTTAGATGACCATTATTGTCAGCTTTCTTATCTGCAAAATGGGGTAAATGCTCCTAACCTGGCATTGCTACATAAAGATCAACTCAGGTATTTCCTCTTTTATGTGGTCCTATGAGGACTGTTAGTACTGGGATTGCAGGGGACTGAAAAAGGAATCGGCACTTTAGACTTTTTTTGTAGGCCATCTTGCCCTGATCACTGGGGATAGAGAGGACTGGACTCCACCTGCCTTCCAGAATCCATTTTAGAAGGGTGACAAACCTGCAAACCAGTAGTGAAAGCCCAATGAAATCACTATTCTGTTAGAGGAAGTGTGGGGGTAGAGGACCTGAGGGGAAATCCCTTGGCAGTCTGGGATGCCAGGGACGTTTTCAGAAGTGGTAATGATTGAACACAAGTTCATCAGGAAAGGGGTGGAAGGCATTCAGGGCAGAGGGAACAGCATGTGCAAAGGCTCAGAGATAAGTCTACAGCTCATGTGTTTAGAGGCAAACTCAGCCAAGATCCCCCGAGCATTTCCTGTGCCTGTGTTGAAAGGAGGCTGGCACAGCTGGAGCAGAGAGGCAGACACTCACTGTTTGGCATCAACGTGGACTGAGATGGGTACATTGGGGCCCTTCAGGATGTCGGCATTGATCCACACAGGCCTCTGGACTTTCCCATCTTTTGTCAGCTGCTGCAGGAGGTCCAAGGAGGGGCCCACGGCCTTGAGGCTCTTGAAGTCCAGCTTGATGCCTGTAGGGAGGGGTCTGGGAACTTGAGGAGCTGGCTCCTTGTGCTCAGGAAGAAGGAACCCAAAGACATGGCTTCCTGGGGCAGAGGGCCAGTGTGGTATGCATGTGGGAGGCAGGAAAACATGAACCAGTTTCTGGCTGGGTGTGAAGGGCTTTCTAGCAGTCAGAGCTACCCAGAAGAAGGACCGGCCTCTGCTGAGGTAAGCGCCTGTCCCCCAAGGGAGGAAGCAGAGACTAAAGCTTTGGGAACTGGGGTCTGGGCAGGGGTTGTCAAGCATCTGATGCCAGTTCAAGACTGTAATTCCTGAAAAGGGAAGACTCAGAGGGTCCTAAGCTACTAGAGCCTGTAGGGAGGTCATTTGGCCTCCAGGAAGGGTGTTTGAGAAAAGCAGGACAATTTAGGAAGCGTGAACAAAGAGCCATGCTACGCAGGGTGGCAAGGGGGTGGGGATGAGGGCATGGCAGGTGAGGCTGGGAAATTAGAGAGGCATGTGGGAACCCAGGCCAAGGTCAGACTTCATCCTGAGGACAATGGACAACCAAGGCTGTTAAGGCAGGGGAGTAACATGACAAAATTTGGCATTTTGGAAAGCTCCCTGAAGTGTGTGTGGTGGTGGTGGTGATGGAAGGAAGACCAGAGGGGCTGAGTTTGGAAGCAAGAAGTCGGAGGTGCAGGAGAGAGATGTGGCTGGGACTGGATTGGGAGGGAGTATGTGGTTAGGGGTAAGAATTGACAGATGCAGCCACGGAGTGGATGTGGGGGATGAGGTGGATATTAGGGTGATGCCTGGATCCTGATTGTAACTGGCAAAGGGACATGGGAGGGCAAGGGTGAGGTTGACTTTGAACTTGTATCTAGTTTCTAGGGTTCAGTATGGAATACCTTGAGAGTGTTTGGCACTTTGCATCTTATCCTGCATTTACCTACTCCCCATCTCATCTAGTCTTCCCTGAACCTGAGTCCCTGGAATGTTGGACTGGAAAACCAATCAGTCTTGAAGGTGGGGACTGGATGTGCCCATGGTGTGGGGATTTCTCACTCACGGCCAAAGAACCTGAGGACTAGGGTGCTGCAAGGGGGCCGACAGGAGTCCTTACCTTTCTGGGAAGAAGAGAGCACAGCCTCCAGCCACTGCTGCAGGGTGTTATCACTGTAGATGGCTGGGGGGTGCGCCATAATGGGGGTCTCTGTCTCGTTGACTGTGTTGAACCCTTCTACAGTGACATCCGCCTCCAGGACCATGGTGTCGCCTGTACAAGGAGCAAAATTTCATCAGTTTCTTTTTTAACAAACATTTTGTATCATCTCCAAAATATTACGTTATAGAACATTTTCGATTTACAGAAAAACAAAAAGAGGGAACTATTCACCCACATTCCATCATAGTTCACGTTTTGATGTATTTTCTTCCATACTATGTATAGTTTTCACACAGTTGAGAACACACTGCATTTGTAATTTTTAATCCTTTTCTTGCACCATTATGACATGTTTTCATAATCTGTGTACATCTCAGAATAAAAAAGCCCTGGCTAAGGGTGATCACCACCATTTAGTTAAACCTCCCTTATTCCTAAGTCTTTTCAGTAGTTTCTATTTTTTTGCAACTAACATTTAATAATGCACATTTTATCCTGGTCTTCTATTTACTTCTTTTTGATCCTTACTTGTGGAATTTGAGTCAGAGTAATGCAGAGTCATTTTCAAAACCGCATGCTATGCTATGGGATTACTGTCTGGTAAAGTTGTTCTGATTCATGTTTGCTCCTGAAGTGCATATAGCTTGTCCCTCTCCCAGGCCGTCACCAGCACTGAGTATTGGTATTTTTATCTTTTAATTCCCAGTTACTATCAGGTAGATGTCATCTGCCTTCCTGGTTTGCACTCTAAACAGTCCCTGGCTGTTTTCGCTTCTAACCCTGCTGCCTCCGGGTCCATTTTCCATACCACCCTGCAGCCAGTGTTCTCACTTGTACTGGTCATGCCACTTCCTGTTAAAAACAGCAGCCCCCATCCCTCATTGCCCCCCATGGTCCTGATCATCAAATCCAAATTCCTGACCTTACTTACTCTTTGTAGTCCCACATAATCAGGCCCTGGTAAACTTTCCCATCTCATCTTCAGTCCCTCATTCTCAAGGTTCTAGCCCTTTTAACTTCTGTGTTAATGTGTCCAGCAATCACCTAAGAACTGTTAAAATGCAAGTTGTGATCAGGTGTGGGCAGGGCCTGAGACTCTGGTCTCTGGCCAGCTCTCTGATGATGGCTGTGCTGCTGGTCCACACTTGGAGCAGCAAGTCTGGAATTTGTCTTGTCCTCCCATCTCTGGCCTCTTGTGCATGTGGCTGTTGCCCTGGCAACAGTCTTCCCGTTACAGCTTTACTAGACCACCTCCTGCGCATCTGTTAGTGTTGGCTTAAAATATCATTTCCTCATGGCCATCCCTAAGCTGCGACCCACTCTGCATTAGCTTCCCTGCTTCTGCTTTGAATGCTCAGCCCCCAGCTTTCCCTGAGGATGAGCCCCAGGTCTCAACTGACCACTACTTGAGTTCCTGATATCTAGATGGTGCCAAGCCTAAAAGAGGCGCTTCAAAAATGGTGAACAATTGAATGAATGATAGACAGCCAGGATCAGCCAGCTCGGAAAGGTGAAAGAAAGAACTTGCCTCAAGCTGCAGAGAATTTTTGCAGATTTCTCTAAAATCTAAGTGTCTGGATTTCCAGGAGGGAAAGGAAGCTGGTGCCAGACTGTCCCTGGCACTGAGTCAGGCTCTTCACATGGACCCTTTCCATCTTCTTGTCATGCATCCTGCTCAGAGCTTGATGGTGAGGAGCCTCCTGGCCATAAACGGGGACCATCGCCAGAAAAGCTTATATGTTATGAAGGTGGCCTTTATTTTTATGACTTGAACACAATGTGCTTTTTAAACTTTTGTTTACCTGAGGATACAAAGAGAAGAATCCAAAGGGTTTGAGCCCTAGTAAGGTCCAGAGTGGGGCAGCTAGGCAGATAAGAGGGCAGTTCAAGAGAGTTAACCCACATGGCACAGCAGACTTCTGTCTCACCCGCTTCTCCCCTCAGCAGTGTATTTTAGTAGATCTGCCTGGTCTGCTCCTCACTCTGTCTTTGGTGAATCCTCTCACCCCTGCACCTCTAGCCTACACCCCAGTTCTTGTATGCATAAACAAATCTTTAAAAAAAAAGAGAGAATGGAGTATAGAAATGTGTGTAGGGATGTAATGTACAGCTCAGTGACTGTAGCTAATAATGGGTAGCATATTTGAGAGGTGCTAAGAGAAGATCTTAAAAGTTCTCATCACAAGAAAAAAGTTATAACTGTTTGGCGATGGATATTAAGATTTATTATGGTCATCATTTCACAATATATACATATTGTATTATAACATGATATACATAATGGTAATGATTTGATTCTTGTATAGATTGTGAAATGATCACCACACTGAGTCTAGTTAACATCCATCCAACTATATATAATTACAAAATTTTATATATATAATATAAACTAATGTTGCATAACAATTATAATGAAATCGAAAAAATGGCACAGCACCTTAAGGAAAAACTGAATGGATGTTGAGGGGTCTTCTTTCCCACCTAATGAAGGACAATTCCAATCTGGGGGAAATGGGGAGCCAGAGCTGGAAGCCAGGTTTCTGAATCCTGGTCCCTCTCTGACTCTGCTGCCTCTCTTGACCTGTACTTGCTGACCCCTTGAAGACACTGAGTCCCTTGAATACAATTTTATGCCCTGCTCACTTCCAAACATTCCGTCTGAGCTTCGTCCAGGGCAGGGGCCAAGCAAGCACCTGTGAATTGTACTACAGACTGACGGAAAGTGCATCCTGGACCCAACCTGCCTCTTTGTGACTGCACCTGGGCCCAGCTCTTCCTGGAAAGTCTTCTCCCTTTTCTTTGAAAGTCACTACTTGCTTTCCAGATACTGAATCTGGGCGCCAATGTACTTAAGGATGAGGAAGTAACAAGAGATGAAGGATCAGTTTCCTGTGACCACAGTAGAATCCCTGGTCTTGGGGCATTCAGGAGGGAGTGTTGAGAGGGAACAGACCAGAAGTGACCAATCCCCGCCCCCTTTCCTTGCCAGGAGCTCCAATGTCACATCCAGGCAGGTAGAGTAAGCCTGCTGAGTGCAGACCCTGAATCCAGCCTGCTAGCTTCCAGGCTGAGCTGTGTGCAAGCTGTGTGCAACTTACTTGACCTCTCTGTGCTTTCTTTTGCTGATTTACAGGAACTAAATAAAATATTCCTAGTTAGGCATTCACTAAGTGTTTAATATTTACATGGAGTAGCTCAATAGGGTGGCCATAAGTCCCCACTTCTCTGGGATAGTGAGGTATATTTTCTGTTGTCCCTGCATAATTATTGACCTCTTTCACTATCAAAAGTTTGCTGCTCTAGGTGATTAATTATATGGTTACTCCACTAGCCCACATTTTGCAGAGGGAAATTTTGAGCTACAGAGAGATAGTCACTTGGTCCAAATCAGCTTAACCTACCACCAGCTTCCCCCCAGGATCCCCACCTCAGTTGTGGTGCCAACCTCCTCCCAGAGGCCTACTCTGGGTACCTGGCTGGACTCACAGGGAGAAAACTAGCCTGGGGTCCTTTCTTAAGACTCCTGAAGCTATGCTAAGGGGTGGCTCACTGCTGCCCCCTATTGAGCCCTTTTGGTCAAGATCCCCTCTAGTTGGGGCTGGATTAATGTCTGTTGCCCTAGGGCTTACCTGGGATAAGTCTGGGAATGGGCCTCTGCCTTCCCACAGGCCTTGTCCCAGATAAGAGTCCTTCCTTTCTGACTGGTTCACTCAACATGGGGAGGGATCTTGACCTCCTCAACACCAAGCTTTGAAATAGGAGAGATTCCTCAAAGCAGCCACAAACTGGCTCCACTCAGCCTGTGATGGCCTCTATTTTGCTGACCATTAAGCTTTTCTCCTTCCTAGAAGTAGTCCCTAAGCTTCATTCATTCATTTATTCAGCAAACCTTTCCCAGGTACTTATTCCCAGACCTTCTAGCATCGTGATCGTATAGTTAAAAAGCCAGAGGCCTGGTGTCTATGTCTGACTATTAGACCTACTCTGTGACCTTGGACAAAAACGTCTCCCATTCTGGACCCAGTTTCCTCATCTGAAATGGGGGGATTTTGGTTGAGCAGTGGTTCTCAAAGAGTGGTCCTGAGTCAGGGGCCTCCCCTGGTGGCGCAGTGGTTGAGCACTGGGCTGCGAAGCTGCTCACAGCCTCTGAAGCGCCGGTTCGATCCCTGGCTGCTGGGTGAGGGTCCCACATGGCTCACAGACCTCTCCTGCCATGCCCACTGCTCCCCTCAGCAGTGTTCTTCGTTCCTTCTGCCTGTTCTGCTCCCCGCTCTGGCTCTGGTGAGTTCTCTCCCCCTCCCGCGCTTCTGACTGTACCCAGTGCTTATATATATATTAAAAAAAAAATCTAAAAAAGAGTGGTCTTGAGTCAGCAGCATCAGTGTCACATGGGAACTTATCAGGAATGCCAATCCTCAGGCCTCACACAGAACCACAAAATAATCTGTCTTCTGAAGCATGTTCAAATTGGAGGGCCATTCCTTTTGCCTTATATAGTTACTGCTGTAGTTTCCAAGTCCATTCATGAAAATTATTAGAGGCATGCAGGAGAGGCGGCTTCCTATAGACCTAGGGTGGGCATAACACAGCGGTTTGCAGCATGGAGTCCCCTGGGGTTCCTGTGCAGACTTAGCCATTTTCAAACAGTGTGACTTTGAGTCTGTCATCTAATTTTCCTGAGCTTGTTTTTCTTCTGTCCAAATGTATCCATGAAGCTGTTACAGGGCAACCCCCTAACAAAGCCATGACTGACTGGTTGCCACAATTTGGAATTGGAGTCAGAGGTGCTGTACAACTAGCTTGGGGTTTAAAGCTTTTTTTCAGTAACACTAGGCCTCAAACTCACATCTGATTTCCTTAGGCATTAAGGACAAAGGGCTCTTACAGCTACAGCTGGTTGATGGGAGTGGCTGCGAGGGAGGGCAGAACATGATGACTTGGAATCAGACATCTGCTGCACCACAGCAGTTCTGAGCCCCCTTCCTGGTGAGGTGACAGGAACACACCATCACAGTGTGTTCACACAGAACCTGGCCATCACAGTGCCACCTCATTATAGGTACTTGCTTACCCCTCTGTTGTCTTTGCCTCAGCTCTGCTCTCCTTCATCTCCCCCAACACCTTGGTCCATCCCAATCTCAGCATCTGGACTTACCACTCAGGGCATTCTCCATCTCCTTTTTGCTGTTGGCAGCGTGGTACCAGGTGACCTGCAGGCCATCCCGCTGGCTGATCTGGCCCTGGCTCAGCAGGTAGTCCAGCATGTCGGTGTCCGGGCGGGCGGTGTTACTGTCCTCAGAGCCTCGAGGGAATGCTAAGGGGATGTTGGCATCAGTTATCACCCCATCCTTAGGTTTCCTGTCTGTTCAAACACCCTCTCCCCAACCTTTGGGCTCCCAGGGTGTGTTCAGCACATTATAGTGGAGAGATCTTGGGACCCCAGAGCCACTGTGCTACCAGAGAGGGCAAAACAGGGGACAGAACCAGCCCAGGGCAGTCAGTAAACTCCCAGAGGAGGAAAGTCTTGGTGGGGACCTTTAAGGATGAGTATAAATTAGACAGAAAAGGTAGACTAGGCTGTTCTAGGCAGAGCCAACAATTTAAGCAAAGACTTGGCCCTAGGAAAGAGTGTGGATGCCAGAGGAATGCCCACTGGCCTGGTATAGATGGAATGTAGAGAAATGGATCAGGGCAAGATTGGAAATGAGTTTTGTGATCAGGTTGCAGGAACTTGATGCCAGCAAGTGTTGGGCTGGTGCTGAAGGCAGTGGGTGAGGTTTGTGTTTAGAAAGTTCTCACTGGCTGCACAGTGAATGCCAGCTAGGTGAACAGGCTGGTGACAGAGGGACGTGTGGGAAGGGGGTGGCCACTTCAGGGGTCCAGGAGACCTAAGGCCTGAGAGGCCAAGGCAGGGGGATGGAGGTAGCAGGTGGGGAGGCAGAAACTTAAAGGTTCATGACTAAGGAGCACAGGTAAGAGGCAGAAGGTGGGGTAGAGACTGGGCCTATGTCCCCAAGTGCATGGACAGCACAGGGCAGGGCAGGGGAAGGATGCATTTAGCTCAATGTGCTGAGTTGGAAATCTCCACTTGACCCCCAAGAAGGAATATCCACACGGGACACAGGAGGGAGGTCTGGGCTAAATGGGACCTTCTGCTGGTGGTAAAGTCTTGGTAGGGTTGGAGAGGGGAGAGGCAGATAGAGCTGAGAATGGAAAGAGTCGTGGGAAAGCAAAGTGGCGGAGAAGGCCATCAGGGCTATTGATGGGGAGAGAGCCTGGATGGGGACAGCAGTAAGAAAGGGGGAAAGCCAAACAGATGGCATGACAAGGAGGACCTACCTGGGTTCTCCGCGCTCAGCGACATCCCAGCGCTCAGCAGTACCCCAGTGGCGATTGTCAGAGCCACAACAATGACACCGACAATAGAGATAAACAAGATTTTGTAGTTCCAGAACCACTTCTTGCAGGCCATGATGATGCTCTTGGGGATTACCTACCAACTTCCCAAAGCCCAGAGTCTCCAGAGGCTCTCTGTAGCTGGGATCTGGTGGAAGGCAGGGCTTTTATACACACCCAATCTCCCCCAGGGCAACCCAGCTCATCCAGGCCCTGAGGGTCCAAATGTGCAGATAACTCCCGAGCTGCTCCTCTCTACTCTGCCCTCCTCCTCCTCCCTCACCCTCCAGCTGACCTTTGAGCACACTGAGAGGCAGCAGAGGATTTTGGACTAAGCTCTTAACCCCTTTCTGTCTGCTTGTGATGGGAATTAGAACAGGGATCTACACCACCTTGGCCTTGCTATTCTGGACACCTGGGGCCTGGTTCTCCAGTGTAAAAGGAGGCAGCTGAATTGTCCTTTCATCTTTCTGTCCTGCCCTCAGGGAGTCAGGAAGGCCAGGCAAGTGTTGGTGATAAGCACAGACTAGCTCTGCCTGACGGGTAGGAATTTTCACTCCATCCCAGATTATGGTCAATAGATTATTTATTTGACTTTTTTTTATTTGCCTACTTGATTTTGAAATTGATAGGTCAGTCCAGCTTGTTCACCTGGGTCACTGCAGGCCACTCCTGGGCAGCAAGTCCACAGAGAAGAGGCTGAGTCACTTTGAGCAGAGGGTGTCCCAGGAACCCTGAGTGAGTTGTGGGGGTTGTAGGTCATCCCTGAGGATCTGCCCAAGAGGAAAGGGTTTTAGGTGGATAAGGAGATCTGGGAATCTGAAGCAAAGACTAGGGTGAGTGTAGCATTTCCTACCTAAGCCAAAGGAGCGGAGGCAGAACTCTGGGGACCATGGCATTAGGGATGGTGGAGGAAAAGCAATTAGTCAAGGAGAGTGGGACAGCAGGAAAGAGGTATGGGGGTGGGGTGGGGGGGAGGTCCTTGTAGCCTATGGAAGAGTTGCTTCCAGAAGAAAGGCATGGTCAGCTGTGATTGGAATTGGAGTCCCATAAGGACAACAAGGTGTCCCAGATTTGACAATAGGAAGTGTGACAGTGCTGTTGGCCAGGACAGTGTCCATAGACTCCATTTATGATGGGATGGCTACTTTTTCGGGGTTAGGATTTTAACATGGATGCTAGACAAATCTCTTTTTGAGAGAAAATTCCAGATCTTACAATAAGTCTTATAGGTGACAAGGTCTGTCCATGTACAAACAGCCCTCATTGAGAATGGGTTCTTTTAGTTCGGGACACTTAAACAAATGAGGGAGGCATCACCCCCCTCCCTTCCTACAGATAAAGGACCTGAAGTCATCAGCAGCTGCAGAGCTGGGGAGTGAGGGGTGGGCAGGCTGTGTCCCCTGGGAAGGACTCAGGCATGCTCTGGAGCACTGTGTTCTGAGGGCTCTGCTGGCTGAATCTGAGGAAGAGGAGTTACAGAGTGTAATCTCCACAATAACGGAGGTTCCATGTTTCCAGCCCCAACCTAATGAAGGATGGAGCTGAGCTGGGCAGAGAAGCTAAAGAAGTCTCCCGGAGGAGACTGGAGGAGGCATGTAGAACAGGAGGCATGTGAAGTCCCAATTGCTTCTCAGCTTTCAACTTGTACCAGGGACTTGGGAGACATGGAAGGAGACATATGGAGGCCAGACTTGGAAAAGACATGGGTGAGAGGCGTGAGGGGAGGCTGACAATGGCAGTTTGTAACTAGATTTGTACTTTGATTTTCTCTTTTTGTCTCAGACTGGCCTGGCCCCTTCTGCCCCTTTCCTATGGCTCCCCACTGGAAGGTGCCTTCGACTTGTGGCAAGCTTTTGGGTCTCAGAGGCCTAGCCTTGGGCCAGTCCTGTTTGCCTGAGCATTTATCCATGTGGGGATGGGAAACTTCGGATGTTTTATTGGAAACGATTATCCTTTCTTCTCTTTCTATGCACACGATTCTATTAAAGTTCTTTCACACTAAGAGGATGATTTGCCTTTATGTGGTAGATGGCAGAATCTACTGAGGGGTCCTGGGGTACCCCTCAGTTCTGCCCACTAACAGAGGTTTTATTCAGCTCTGGCAGGAGGAGCAGCTCTGGCAGGAGGAGCAGCTCTGGCAGGAGGAGCAGCTCTGCAATGGACCTCTCCACACTGCGGCACTTTTCATGAGACAAGAGCCTGGTGATGGAGGAAAGGATAGGAAACCCAAAGGATGCAACAAGAGACTAGAACCTAACTCACACAAGGAGTAGGGGTCGAGGGGATTAGCATGAGCCATTAACCCAGTTACAGAAACCAAGATCCTGGGGTGTCAATGCCCAGATCAGGAGGCGCAACACTCAGACAGGTATCCTACTGCTATAGGGAGTGTCAGGAACACAAACCATCCACCCACAAAGATGAGCCCCTCCCTACTGAAAGAAGATGATAAAGCCTAATGCTGCCCCTTTGGGCAGCAGTCTTTCTGCCCACCTGTGACTCTGTAGGTGCTTTCTTTCATCAACTCTCTCCCTCTGCAGGGCAGCTGCTTCCTGCCTGACCGTGACCTGTACCTGCTGGGGCTTCTCTTCACTGACCTCCCTCAGCGGAGGCCGCTCTCCTCAAGGCCACCCGCCTGCAACCATGCAGGCCTCTCTCAGCAAACCTGTCCCTTTAGGGCAGCTCTTCCAGCCCCCTTGCGTCTATGCAAGTGTACTTTACTCTTCTGTCCCTTTCTCTAATAAACCTGCTCTTTCAAATATAACTAACCTCTGTCTCGTGGAGAAACTCGCCTGGGGAACTCTCCATGTGCTGCTGAAACGGGAGCTCTGGTGAAACCTTCCCCAGAGTGAATCCAAGGACCCCACACTCCAAACTCACAGACTCCAAAAATGACATCACCTGGCACTGTGCTAGGCTCTGGGGCCCACCTGCTCCCCATGACATACTGTGGGAGACAAGAAACTGGGGGCTTGCTGGAGACTCCAGCATTTCAGAGGTGGAGAGTTATCCCACATGACATGGCAGGAGAGGGGCTCAGAGGCTATAAGGATGTGCTGAGAGGTCATGCTGGATTGAGGGGAGCAGGAGCACAGAGGAGGAACCCCAACCTTCTGGGCAAGGCAGGTGACTTGCAGGAGAAGCGTGGTCTCTACCGTCATGAAGAGCCATGAGGGATGAATGGGATTATAGGAGAAACAAAGGGTCCAGTGTCTGAGAGTGAGCAGGGGCGTGTGGGGCAGGCCTTACTGGGACATGAGCCACACAGAGGGAAACAGGAGGGCTCTGGAGATGAGGGTGTGGAGGCAAGGGCTGGGACACCCTGATAGGAAGCTTGGGTGTTCCTAGGCCTATGGCCTATGTTCCTAGGCCATATTCCTGATTATGTTCCTAGGCCATATCCTCAGAAATGGAATTACTGGGTCAAAGAACAACTTGGAGGGGTTGAGGAGACTTCGCACATGGGATAGGCAGGAGAGAAAAACAACTTTGCATTTGGGAAGGTGATTCTGAAAGCTGGTGTTGAGGAATGACTAGAGAAGGTCTGTCCATAGCACCCAGTTTTAGCATTACCCCTCCTCTCCCCTCACTATCTCCCATGGAATTTTGTGACTTCCCATACCATGCCACTCAGAACCACCACAGGCTCAATGAAAGGTTATTAAGAAGCACCAATATTTGGGGTGTATAGAGTTGATGCTTGCCCTGAGAGGTCCCCTCAGCTTTCTGAGGTTGAGTCCTCCCTTGTCCCCCTCTCTCTCCCCCTCCCTTTCCCAGCCTGTGTGGAAATGCAGACTTGTAACTTCAATTAGACAAAAGAGCTTATGGTTCCTAAATGCAGCTCGTGGACCCCGCTCTTGTGGCAATTGGAATTCAGGTACAGTGTTAAGGCTGCAGGAGCAGAGAGGAGGCCCCTAGCTAAGGCAAAGATCTGGGAGGCTTCCTGAGGAGTGTTTTATTTTGAAGAACAGGTAGAATCTCTTGGAGGGAAAATAAAAAAGCTTATTTTTCCTATTATAAAAAATGGTGCAAAAAGATATTGGAAAATTCAGAAATATGGAAAAAAGAAGTTTTCATTATTTAAAAATAAAAAAATCCCATCAGCCAGTTATAGTTATAATTTGTGTTCATTTTATTGAAGAGAATTCCAATCTTTTTCAATGCACTTTTATTATTGGTAATTTTGCTTTGTTCTGCCTTTTTTTTTTGTGGGTATATTTATTTTCTATTGCTGCTGTAACAAATTACCACAAGCTTAGTGGCTTACACAACACATTATCTTGCAGTTCTGGAGGCCAGATCTGAAGAAGATTTCACTGGGCTAAAATCAGATGTTGGCAAGCTGAGTTCCTTCTGGAGACTCTAAGGGAGAATCCGTTTCCTGGCCTCCTTCAGCTTCTAGAATCTGCCCACATTCCTCGGCTCTTGGCCTCATTCCTACATCTTCAAAGCCAACAAGGTTGAGCCAAAGCCTTTTCATATTGTCATCTCTCTGGCTTTCTCTCTTCTGCCTCCGTCTCTACTTATACAGACCTTGTGTGATTACATTGGGCTCACCCAGATATTCCAGGATAATTTCCCCTCTTTAAAGTAATTAGCAGCCTTAATTCCATTTCATTCTTAATTTCCTTTGCCTATAAAGTGACACATTCAAGGTTCTGAAGCTTGGGATTTAGACATCTTTGGGGGACCACTATTCTGTCTACAACTTGCAGTGGCTTTTGTTTCTTTCTTTCATGGTTGGTTGCGGTCATGCTGTCAGTGGGAGGCAGCACATCTAAGTGCACAGGCCCTGGGCTGCCTGTACCCTCTTCCTGCCTGGACTTTCACAGCTCTGGGATTCCGGGCATGGATTTCACCTTTCTTCCCTCAGATTCCTCATTTATAAGATTATAGGGTGACTGCAGGGTTAAACGAATTAGTCAATGTAAATCACTCAGGTCAATACCTGGTACAAACCAAGTGCTTGAAAAAGATGAACTGTTACTATACATGTATATCCAATTACAAAAATGCTATATATAGAATATATAAGTTTGTTTTCTGCTTTTCCCCCCACATATATAATCCAAGTATTTCCCTACATGATTGTAATATTTATCTTTTAATGGATGCATACAATCTTATTCAATGGGTATTTCTATAGTTTGTTGGACCATTGCTTACCATGTTAAATACCTGGGTTGTTTACAAATTTTTCCTATTATGCAAATGCTCCAGTGAGCATCTCTGGCCATATTCCTGATTATGTTCCTAGGCTAGATCCTCATACATGGAATTACTGGGTCAAAGGACAAGCATATTTTTAAAAATATAAGTTTGAAAACTTCTGCTAAATTTCATTCCAAAAGATACACATCAATGTGGAAACACCCAGGCAGGAGTAGGTGGATTTTATGAGGAGGTGGGAAAAGATAGTACCATTCCAAAGACCTTGAATGAAAGCACCTTGTGCTGCTCTGTATAGAACCTTGCACCTGTGCTTCCCAACCTCCCAGGTTATAACCTTACAGCTGCCTTCAGCCAATGGCAATGAAAGGAGGGAAGGGACAAAGTATTTGCTTATCTTACTGTCTCAGGTAATGTCACCCACAATGACTGTCTCCCTGATGACTCCACTTCCTGCAAGGTGACTGCGGCCCCTGGCCTGTCCTCCTGTACAATTGGCTTCTAAGTCTTTCTATCACCTTGTAGCCAATCCCTTGTACTATTTTCCCTATTTAAAATCCTTAACATAGTTTCCTGCTTTCCTGTTGGACCAGACTGATCCAGGAGGCCTCCTGCATTGATGCTACAATCAAAGTAGGGATATGAAAGAGGTCTCAAGTCAGAGAGGAGAGACCAAGTTCAGGATCTTGGGGGACACAGATATAGGAAGCCAGGGGTGGGAAATTGGGACTCCAAAAAGGATGCAGGAGAAAAAGAATCAGAAGGCAAGAACAAACCAACAGGGCAGTCAAGGAAGGAGAAACACTTTGATCTGGAGTAATCCACAGATGATCAGAGAGGGCAAAAGACTGAAGATGGGGAACAAGCCTTTCCACTGGGCGATTAGGTAGTGAAGACTGCAGAGGCAGTAGTGGTAGAGGCAGAGTTCATAGTAAGTGTTTAAATTCGGAGCAGTGAGTGAAGCAGGAGAGGCCAGAGGAATTTTACATCAGGAATTTCCATAAAAAAAGGGAGGTTCCAGGTTCACTGTCCCACCAAATGAGGGGTGGAGTTGAGCAGCCAGATGAAGTTACAGGAGATTTGGAGGGGACACAGGACTGGACATGTGGAGCAGAGACCTGCAAAGGAGGGTGCACTTGCTTCTTGGCTTTGGACTTACCAGGGACTTGGGGGGCATGGAAGAGAAACGTGGAGTCAAAAGACAGAGAGAAAGTTGTGGCTTAGAGACACATGGAGAGGCTGACAATGGCAGCCTTTATCTTGTACTTTAATTTTGCTCCTTTTGTCCAA